TGTTTAGCCTGGAGGAACGACAACAATGGACTCAAGTTACAGGAAGCCAGATTTCGGCTGAATAGCAGGAAAATGTTCCTAACTGTTAGAGCAGTACAACGGTGGAACCAAGTGCTTTGAGAGGTGGTGAGCGCTCCAACGCTGGAGGCCTTCAAGGGAAACTAAGAGAACAGACATATTTTGACTTGTCTCCAACGCTGGAGGCCTTCAAGGGAAACTTAAGAGAACCCCCTGGGCAGACATATTTTGACTTGTGTTCCTGCATCGAGCAGAGGGTTGGACTTGATGGCCTTTAGAGACCCTTTCTGACTTCATGATTGTGTGACTCTTCAGGGAAAGTATCCTGAGGGGAAAAGCAGGGTAGAAAAATTAAAAGATAGAAGTATCACGGTGGGAGCATATGGGGTAAATTGGGCAAATTTATAGGCATTTAAAAAAAGAGGCTCTTGGGGGGGAAAAAGCTGTTGTGAAACCTCCCATAGAAGAAATAAAAATGAATTAAGGCTTTTGTTAATTCAGCCACAGTGGTGGCTTGGTCCAGGGTTACGGTGCGGAGAGGGAAAGCTCTGGAGGCAAAAATTACAGAGCCTGTACATTTAGAAATCAAGAGAGAATTTAGAAAGCCAAACAAAACCTTGGGAGGTGGATAGCTGAGTCAGAACAGAAGGTGTAGTAAAAACAGACATGTACAAAAAAACAACGGCTTGCGAGCACCTGCCTGTTAGCCTTCTGGGTGCCACAGAGAAGGGCAGAAAACCTGAACATTTCTGTCAAAACATGCCCAAAAATGCCCCCAACAGTAATTTTTGAAAGTGACAAGGTAGGGCTCATTTGCCCCTAAAAACTAACCTTTTAACTATTAGTTATAAGACATGTTATCCCAAAAGTAACTAATTAGAGTTAATTATGTCATTTGCTCACTGGAAGGACAGATCCGGAAGCTGAGGCACAAATACTTTGGCCATCTCATGAGAAGACTCCCTGGAAAAGACCCTGATGTTGGGAAAGTGTGAAGGCAAGAGGAGAAGGGGACGACAGAGGATGAGATGGATGGACAGGGTCATCGAAGCGACCAACATGAATTGGACACAACTCCGGGAGGCGGTGGAAGACAGGAGGGCCTGACGTGCTCTGGTCCATGGGGTCACGAAGAGTCGGACAGGACTTAACAACTAAACAACATGTCATTTGTTACTCCCAGACGGTAACCATTTCCATGCTACCATACTCTGAAAGCCAGCAGGGAACTGGCGGGGCCCCCATATTTTCTATCTCTACCTGACAGTGCAAATAAGATTGGAGGAGTTCATAGGGCAGATGCTGGCACAAAAGTTCTCCTCTGCTCTCTGCAGGGAAGCAGTGCTTTCTCAAACATTCAGAGATGGAAGGTCTGGTTACAGATCTTCATCCTGCCCCGTTTGTAATTGGTATCGCCAGCACAAATTGAGATTAAAAGAAAAAGGTCGTCAAAGGCACAAGCAGAGAACTTATCACAAAGATCCTATTTCAACCTATAAAAGTAAGATTCCACCTTTGACTACTACATGTGCAAGTTCAACTTATCTGGGAGGAATACCCAAGCTGGCCATTTATGTTGTGGCACCCCTCCATACAGTATATCATAGGGCACTTTGTGAAAGGCTTTGCTAAAGTCAAGATATATTACATCTACAGCATTCCTGCTGTCAACTAGGGAGGTGACCTGATCAAAAAATAAGATGCAGATTAGTCTGGCAGGGTTTGTTCTTGACAAATCCATGTTGGCTTTTAGTTATTAAGGTTCTTGCAGAGTCACTGCTTTATACTGTAATCCGTTCCAGAATTTTCCCTGGGATTAATGTCAGGCTGACAGATCTGTAGTTCCTTTCTTATTTATTTGGCTTTTATACCGCCCATCTAGACGAATCTACTCTGGGCAGTTTACAGCCCAAAAAAAGACAATAAAATTAAAATCAACAGTGGAAAGACTAAACCAAGCCAAAAACCAGAGGAAAAATTAAGTAGTGGCAGGAGGGAAGGCCTGCCTAAAGAGCTAGGTCTTCAATTCACTCTTAAAAACTCCCAGCAGAGGAGCCAGGCGGATTTCAGAAGGATGGATGTTCCAAAGGCAAGGGGCCACCGCTGAGAAGGCCTGGTTTCTAGTTTTTTTCCTTCTGGGCCTGTCTTGGAGTTAAGCCCCTCAGACGCCCAGTCTGACTAGAACGAGTGACACGGGTAGAACTAGGTGGAAGAAGGCGCTGTGACAGGTATCGAGGTCCTAACCTAAACGGTTTAGGGCTTTGTATGTAATCATTAGAATCTTGAAATTGATGCGGAATCTGATGGATAACCAGTATAAGGCAGCCAGAGTGGGGGAAAGATGTTTTATCACCCCTGTTAGTAATCTGGCCACTGTATTCTGGACCATTTGAAGTTTCCACATGACTCTCAAGGGAAGCCCCATGTAGAGTGCATTACAGTAGTTTAATCTTGAGACTACAAGTGCATGGACAAGTGTGGTGTATTTTATTTTTATCGTGTTTTGATACTGTGTTGTTTAGCTTGTTAGCTGCCCAGAGTGGCCTGGTTGCCAGATGGTGCGGGGTATAAATCCAATTCTTAATCATCATCATCATTTGAACAGGTAGCCGTGGATGCTGTTTCTTAGGGAGCTGTATATGTCAGGGGCAACACGATTCAATAAACCACACGTCGGAAGCAGTCAAGTCCTCATTTTTCTTTATTAAAGATCAATCAAGGCTTTCAGATTCTTGCCATCAGCCGTTACACCCAAATTACAATCTCCAACTATAGGTAAGAATCCAACACGAGACCACAAATTCAAATGTCAGACGTGCAATAACTTGTGTAAATCACAGTTCTTAAATTTCTGTAACTACGCCTATGGTTTTATCACCCCACCTGAGACCATGCAGTGCTATTATGAGAAGAACACACACAATGACCCAACCCTGAAGACAGGTATCATGAAAATACAGACGAGAAGACCAAGATTACTAAGCTAGACCTTTTCACTCACACAATGGGTGTTAAATGCCATGGAGATTTGTCTACAATGAATTAGTAGTGGAGGGAAGCTTCTGAAAGGGCTAGCAGACCGTCAGCTGTCTATAGTAACAAGCGCTAAAGACGAAAAGACCCCCAAGTAAGCATGTTGAGTAAAGAGAGCTTAAGATTAGAGATTGGATGTTCGCATCCCCGGGGATCCAAATACAAGTATCGGCACCGCAGGTGCCTGGGGAAACGGGGAAACTCTCCCCCCAGAACTGGCTGGTCCACTTACTCCTTGTGGCCGTCCTCGTTCGCCTCTCCCCCCAGAACCGGCTGGTCCACTTATTCCTTGTGGCCATACTCGTTCGTGTCACGCCCATCGTGGAAGTCGCCTGACCAGCACTTCCCCACAACCCCGAACAGCCGACCTCTCCAGCAAAGAGAGGATGAGCCTCCCCGCTCAGCTGCTGAGCCGTCAACTATGCAAGGAGGCGGGGAAGCGCCAGGCGAACGACTTCCATGATCGTCGTGATGTGAACCATGATGGCTGCGTGTGGTCAGTTCTGGGAGAGGGTCCGGTTTCCACAGGCACCTGTGAGGCTGACACTTTTATCCCCAGGGAGACGAATACCCCATCTCTACTTAAGATCAGTACGTTATGGCTTTGCATCCATGTCTACGATGCAACGTATCTTTCCGTCTTTGGGAAAAGCCGACCAGGTGATTTCTGTTGGTTAAAGTTAGCTTGGAAAAAGCTAGCTCAGTTGCTTGGAACAGGTTTGCTCATTGGTGCAGAGATACAGTAGCAAATGACATCAATTTATTTCATTACAGGCAGCTAGTTTTGAGCTTGCTGTCCACCAAAACTCTGGCTGAAGCATTCCCAACTTGACAACGGTATTTCACCAATTTATTCCTCTCGTCGTAAGCAAACGCTATATACATACATTCATCCAGCCATTCCTCGAAGCAGTTAAGGCAGGAGAGGACAAAGCCGTCACCGTGGAACTCCCAGGAGCCTCGTCAGGACAGCCTGTGGTGATGAAACCTGGGAGTTGCAGTCTCCTGTCCGGAGGGGGCAGGCTTTGTTCCCTCCTGCATCAGAAGGACATTTAGAAAGAGAGAAAGAGAACGGGTCAGGATTATTCGGACCCCAGAGGAAGCCCACTGACCTTCCCCAAGGCCCAGAGAAGATCCCCAGCACACACAAAGCAGCTGATCCACCTCCTGGCTTTGCTACAAGCCTGCCAAGAGCCCTCTCGCCCTACGACAGCAGCCAGCGGAAAGGAGGACCCAACAGACCATCGCAGAAATTCAAATATACATGTTAGATACTAACGACCATGCTCTGCAGATGACAGTACGGAGAGCATTTAGAAAAAAAAATTATGGGAAACACTGTCCCCGATAATTAAGACACCCTTAGTGCAACATATGGAGGTCACTGCCCCCGATACAACACTGTGGTAGGCAAAAACTACCTTGTTCTTTAACATTATGGGAGACTCTGCTCCCGATAATGTGTTCCAAGTTCTCATGATACATCGTAGTACTGGAGCTTTCACACAGTAGCTGCCACTTGGATTAAAGCAAAACCTAGCTCAAACCTGCAGTGGGCTGCATCAGCTGACACACCGCCCGAAAGGGGGGGGGGAAGACTGGTATGAACCTCAAACGATCGTCTTTACTCATCCTCCGGAGTCACTGTCCGTTTGGCCTGGAAGTAAAGACCAGCGAGGCAGGCGGCCACCATCATCCACTGACACTTCTCCTCGGAAGTCTCAGAGGGACAGCCTCCCCATCGCAGTTTCTTTTCTCCCATCGGTGAGTTCAAGAAGAGTCAAAGGGGGAAACGCTTCCAGGGTCCCCTTGTCCTCTCCTTGATCTGCACAAGCCAAAAGGCAGGAAAGACTTGATGCACCCCAAACCAGCTTTCTCAACGAACGTCGTGGCCGCTACAGGCCACTGCAGGCTTGAGGGTAAAAGTTCCAGCGATCATGGTTGGATTGTACTAGCAGATGCTGCTTTTTTTTAAATATTTATCAAAAACGACAGTATAACTGTCATAATTATGGAAGTCACTGCTTCCGATAATTATAATCTGTAGAAAACAAATACCATTTATAGTGAACACTGCCACTGATAAATAAATAACAAATAAATATCTCAATATCGACTTCAGGCCGAGTCAGCCGCTGAGGCAGATATCCCAAGTTAAACGACAAGAGGCGGGGTGTTGTTTCCTGAAAGGCCTCAGGATGAGGGGCTGAGTGCGATTCGCCTCTCCCCCAAACGCAGGTATGGCTACCCCTGCAATTTTTCAGTTGTACCATGGAACTACTCAAGGCGTGATGGGCCTTGTTGTCTTTGGCTTGTCCGTCCTGAGTAAGGAAAGAAGCAGTCAGAGAAGAGGGGCGCACCCAGGGATTCCCCCTCCGTTTCCCCTGGGAAGGCAGAAGGCTCAAATTTTTGGTATGGGCAGGACTGCATCTATCTGGGGTGGGTGGTGGGTGGGAAGGGAGTTGGCAGGAAGGGGAGCACTGCAGCTTCTACGCACCCAAAAGAGTTTTTTTTCTAGCCAATACTGGGAGATCCAGGGCCGCCTTCTGCCTTCCCAAGTAACAACGCAAATCCAGTAGGTTTTTCTGGCTCCGCTCCGGAAGCACCTGAGGCCTCTTTGAGTTCTAACTCTCCATCCTAGTTTGAGGCTGAGATTTACTAAGTCTAAACAAAAAACAACAACCCGCCCCTCTTCTTGACTTCCAGGTTTGGAGGGCACATTTAAAAGGGCATCTACACACATCAGGACATTACGACTTGTTTTTGAGTTGCTCTACATTGCAGTCAAGGGGCTCTGGATTTTATCTGGAGGAGTTTGTCCTCAGCGACTGACTGGCTGAGGGGAGAGAGGGGTTTTTTTGATCTGCATCTCAACATTCAGTGCTTTTAACATGGTTAGAATTCATTGTCAATGTTCCAGATGTCACCAGCGATGGCGTTTGCCGCTCCCTGGATCGTCCAGGTGGCCAAAGCTAACTGGTTCCTGAAGAGAGTTTCGTTGAAAGCGCTTGGGTTGGTCTTCCGGAGACCAAGGTGGTCCAGCAAGGCCTGGAGGGTGTGGGAGCCCGAGCCGAAGAAGACGTGCCGAAGAGGGCTGTCCCTTGGAGAGATGTACGGAGAGAGGAAGTGGTACTCCACCTTAAGGAGAGAGGGAGAGAGACACACACCGTGATTACCAGTTCTTGGATCAGGCAAGAATGAAGGGCAGGAATCCAGAGGGAAGTTTAAGAAGCAGCTACAAAAGGGTCAGAAGGAGAAAAAGCCTCCGAGCTTTCCAAAGTATGGTCAATGTGCTTGGGAGGAGAGAAAAAAAGCACACAGACTATTTCGGAGACAGGCTTTCTCTGTGATGGTTGCATCTTTTTGTTACAGATGATGCACCCCCTGTCTTTGTAGGTCACGGATTCCTGTTCTGTGCAAGTGTCAGCTATTCCCCAATTAAGTAACAGCAAAATAAGTTTATAGAGTCAATATTTTTTGCATGTGTGCGTGTGTTGGTGTACATGCATAAGTAAAATAATATGCTTAGAGGCCAAGAAAGTTATTTTCTTTAATGTATTTTTACTTTTGACATCCTTGATATTTTAATATGCTTTTAAAGTACTGCTGGAGTATTTAAATTTACAGCACTTTACTTTTCACCTGTATGTTCTAGAGATGTTGTTGGGTTTTATTTTTTTTTTGCTGTTTAAATGTGATGCTATTAGGCTTTTAAGCGTTTGCATTTTTAGAATGTGACCTAAGACATTCTCATTCTTTTTTTATTCTTAAAAGATATTTTACCCCTGGATTTTGGATGGAATTCTGACTTAAGTATTTGCCTACAACTTAAGTTCCGTTTCCATATATTTGTGCCTACAGTTTTCTTCATAGCTGTAAGGGTTTTTTCTTTTACAACCACTCTTGAACTAATTTTGTGCCTACGGAACAGAAGAGCAGTGTAGATCAACAAAGCTGGTAGAACGAAACCAGTTGATGTTGCCTGGAACGACAGCACCAATGGGAAAGATTTATACTTTGGAGACCCAGATGAATCTTTAATTGGATTCGTTTCAATTCTGGAATTAACCCTTTATTGGGATAATTAGGTGGGTTAACCTGACACCAAGGCAGTACAGTGGGGTCTTGACTTGAGAACTTAATCCGTATTGGAAGGCGGTTCTCAAGTCAAAAAGTTCTCAGGTCAAATCTGCATTTCCCATAGGAATGCATTGAGAACCATTTGATCCGTATCTGCTCTTTTCCGTCCATAGAAACTAATGGGAAGCTGCTATTCTGCCTTCGACCACTAGAGGGGGATATTTTCTTTTTTCTTAGGTCAAGAAAGGTTCAGGGAAGGCAGGGAAAATACAGTCCAGGCAGGACAGGACCAGGCAGCCTGAAGACTGTCTCCCAATCCACTCTCTAAACGCTGGGAGGACTGAGGAAGCAGACAGGCACCCTTTTCACTGGCCAACAGTTAACTGAAAGTTCAAATTTTGCACTTTCCCTGCCTCCCACGTGGGTTTTTTTCAGTTCTTAACTCAAATCTAAGTACTTAAGTCAAGTCAATATTTTCCTATGAGAGCGGTTCGTAAGTCAAAATGTTCTTAACTCAAGTCGTTCTTAAGTCAAGACCCCACTGTACTATGGTTGATGATATCAAGAACTGCTGAGATGTCAAGCAGTGTCCACAGGGAAACCCTCCCCGCTGTCTGGATCCCGGCATAAGAGAGTCCACCAAGGCAACAGATAAAGTCATCATCTCAGAACCAGGCCTGAAGGCTTACTAAATGGCATTTATATAATTCCTCTCACCCGGGTCCTTCTGAAAGCTGAAAAATACCTGTCTCCTCTTACTTACTTGCTGATGCCAATGGGCTTCCAGCAAGAGAACAGGATTGAAACACCCACCCCTTTGGTCTAAGGCCCTTTGCCTGAGGTCCCCCCCCCCGTCACTGTCAGCTCCACTGAGAGAGACTGGTATTGATTCAGACAAAATCTGTGCCCGGTATCACTTGGGAGTCAAGAGACAAAACAGGCTTTCCGTCCACAAAGCTCAATTTATTCTCCACTCTGAAGCTCTTGCATCCGACACACAACTTACTTTCATGATCCGGTCATTCAACGCCCGGCAAGCCACTTTATTCTCCATGTCCGTGTTCATGACGTCTTGATCCAGAGCAGAGGTAGCTCGGGTAAAATCTCCACGGGCCACCAGAAGCCACGTCAATCCCAAACCCATGCTCTACAAGAGAGAGAAGAAAAGGCTTCCGCGTTAGTACGTTTAGACGAGGCCTGATCCGCTCACCGCTGGCACTATTTTCCTTTCAAACTCCATGATGTTGCAAAGGCTGCTTCTAACCCTAAAATGATTAGAACGGACCAGAAGGCAGAGTCTCGAGACGAGATGGCTCTGCAGCAGCGTTTTCACAACAGTGATGCCGAACCACAAATGCCTCCATGGGCAGCCACGTATCACAGGAACAGGCCTGTCCAGCTGAATCCTGGATCAAGGCAAGAATGGAAGCTTCTTCTCATCTCGCCCACAAACCAAGACCCAAACCACTCTGCAAAGGAGCTGCGAGTCCTCTAAACCAATGGTCCCCAAACTTGGGCTTCCAGATGTTCTTGAACTTCAATTCCCAGAAGTCCTGGCCAGCAGAGGTGATGGCAAAGGTTTCTGGGAGTTGTAGTCCAACGCAACTCAACCAGCAACCACTTCCTGCTCACTCAGATTTACTACAGATGGACATCTTTTCCGGGGGAAGTTCCTGATTCCCCCCCCCCAAAAAAATGCTAGAATGCTCCTCGCTGAAACATGAGAACGCTTTGCAAACACGATGGAAGCCCGGGTCTTCTCCCATGGAGAACCAAGCACCCCTCCCACCCACAACGTCAGGAAGACTCCGCTATCATGGATTACCTGCAGCTCTCGGCGGTACGGAATTATTTCAGATACAAAGCCACGCATTTTATCATCGTAGCTCTTGTAGTCCAGGTACAATTCATGGTCATGCGTCATCCGGAGGGCCATCCGACCAGCTATTTCGGCGGCCGAGCGCATCATTTTTTCCAGCACCACGGAGTTGCCAAGGGTGCGCAGCAGGTTGTCCATATTATCTGCTTTTGTGCCGAGATACGGGTACCCTTTCCCATTCTGCAAGGCATAAAGAGGGTCACAAACGTACCAGGCATTTCCAATACGCTGCTGGCTTAATTATGCAAGGTGTCTCCCAGGTACCGTGCCAACTATTCCCGTATGACAGTGGCACCGAACCTTTTTTGGCCCAAGTGCACAAACTGCGGGGGGGGGGAGAAGAAACCCAGTGGGTGGGCCAGCTGTGGCACATGGGCCATAGGTTTGCCATCGCTGCACTATGAAGACAGCATGGCACATTCCTCACCAGTAAATAATTTGTGCAAGACAAAATGGCAGATTCTCATTGTGACCCCCAACAGAGAAAAGAAAAATCTAAAGCCACCACAGAATGTCTGTAATAGGACAGATAGGACTTGAAACCTGACTCTGTCCCTTTCAAGGGGAGGGAAAGGAGAAGGCAGCAGACGTGGAGCAATGGAACTTTTAGGGGCAGCAAAGAGCTTACGTCGCGGAAGCTGAACGAAATGGCTGGAATTCCTGAATACGACAGGAAGGGAAAGCTCGCATCATCCATACGGAACGGGACCCTGCAAAAGACAAGGGTTTCAGCCGCGCCATTCTTCCTGGCATATCTGAGGCAGAGGGTCCAGCCGTGTCCCCAATAGTCAAATATCAACACCCAAGTTCTGGAATACCGGACGCTGCCCATGCGCTTAAGTCCGACCTTTGGACCATCTACTAGTACAGGCAACATGGAGCGGCCGCCGTGGCTCTCAAGCATTCCACATGAGGGCTTCCCAGCCCTGCCGGGAGATGCTGCTAGAGAAGGAACTTGAGACCTTCTGCAGGCAAAGCAAGAACGCTTGCTCCTGAGCAACCAGATGCAGGTTCTGCTATTAATGTGGAAGCCTACTCAGCTGTCATTCCACTGCCCTATGGAAGAGGTCAACGCTACTTACTCTTTTTGGGGCAAGGTGTTAGCAAGATCATTCGTTGTGAACTTGACCTAAGAGAAAAAAAAACACACCCACACCAGTCTAATTAGCTTTTATATTCGTTGTGAACTTGACCTAAGAGAAAAAGACACACACACATCAGTCTAATTAGGTAAAGGTTCCCTCTGACATTTAGTCCAGTCGTGTCCGACTCTAGGGCATGGTGCTTATTCCCATCTCCAAGCCGTAGAGCCAACATTTTGTCATCATCCCCGTTTCCAAGCCGTGGAGCCAACATTTTGTCAGTAGGCAGTTTTTTGTGGCCACGTGGCCAGAGCGACTAGACACGGAACGCCGTGATCTTCCCATCAAGGTGGTACTCATTTATCAACTCGTATTTTTACATGCTTTCAAACTGCTAGGTTGGCAGGAGCTGGGAGAAGCGATGGGAGCTCCCTCCGTCATGTGGATTCGATCTTACGACTACTTGGCCTTCTGACCTTGCAGCCCAGAGGCTCCTGCAGTTTAACCCACAGCGCCACCATGTCCCATTAGCTTTTATAGAGGAACCCTAACCCATCAGCAAAAGGAGACGGGACAATGATGAAAAACCAAAAAACGTCTGTGGTACTTTTTAGACTAAGAAACTTAGGCTGGGCTCTTTTACAATCCAATATTCCCCAGCCCCTGTTTCTGCAAAGGACTGTGCATTGCAGAGATAAAGGTATCGAGGCTCCCTTTCGTGGTTTCGGATTTCCAGATTACCTCCCGGATGACGATCCAAAAGGATCCTTACCCCTGAGGTGGCTTCTTTCAGTAGCTTTTTCAACATGGGGCTGGCCGAGAACCTGAAATCTCGTGATCCTGTGGGGCAAACGTACATAGGCAATCAGATGGTGATTTTGAAGTCAGAGTAGCCCCAAAATAAATACATAAATAAATTCTCGTGATCCTGTGGGGCAAACGTACATAAGCATCAGATGATGATTTTGAAGTCAGAGTAGCCCCCAAATAAATAAATAAATAAATAAACCCATTGTTAGGCCCTGTCATTTGTTTAAAATATATATTTTTTTCACCCTGCCTTTCTCCTTAAAAGGATCCTAGGCGGCGTAGATAATTAAAAGGACCATGTTTAAATGCTAAAAACAATGATACAAATTAAATACAAATATTTAAAAAGAAAAGGGAAGTGCTTAGAGACAGGAGCAAAGCAGGCGCCCTCTTTAATCCCTTAAGGACAGGACTCCTAGGAGAAGACGAACAGGAGATGTGTGAGTAAGGCCAGAGCAGTTTACGGAAAGCCACGACACAGCATGGAGAAGAGGAAGCCGCACTCTGGAATTCTCCCTCTGTCTGTGCGGTCCTTCAAAGGTGGGTTTACTGGACACACAAAGGCTTCAAGGCCCAGAAGTAAAAACAACACCTTACCAATGGATTCCTTTTAGCAAATCAAAGTGCCGGTCAAATATCAGCAGCAAAGAGGACCGACTGTCCTGGGGGGCACCTTTTAGCCCAACTGATCCCAAGAAGCAACTGCATTTACTCCTTTGCCCAAACTGCATTCTACAACCCAGATCCTCTTGTGTCGCACCTTGCAAATCACGTCCAAGAGAATTAACATCACACCGGACAGTGGAAACTCCCAAATCTGTATTTCCACCTATGTTAATTAGGATAACCGTATTTACCTTTTATGTGAAAAGCTCAAGAGAGAACAGTGGGTGCCCCTTACCTGCAACAGCTGAATCCAGGTTGATGTAAGTGAATGCCTTCAGGTGGAGGGTGGCTGCGTAGCCCTGGAGAGGAGGGAAACACTGTGAACTGGCAGCCACCCCAAGAGGGTGGGGGCAGAGCTGACCTTAAGCAGAAGCTGGGAAATGCTGCCTGAAAACCTTTAAAGAAACAAATCAATACCTCCAGCCACTCGGTGGCCCCAACGGCCCCAAATTCTCCAGCGCTCCAGCTGGCGAAGACGATGCTCCGGCGGGGTTGGTAGCCTTCTGCAAAGATGAGAGGGGACAGAGGTTGCCTCCGACTCTGCATACGTGCTTCCACCACACGGCTTCTGCAGATCCCTCCACGGCACCATCCTCACCTGTTTGCACCATGTCGGAGAAGACGCTGGCCAGCTTCAGCAAGAGGGCTGTTCCGACTCCGGCCTTCACCGCTCCAGGCCCCCAGGAATCACGCTGGGCTCCGATCACGACGTAACGATCTGGAAAAGAAACGGGGACCATGTCTCCTTCCCTCACCCCCTTGCCAGGCTGGGAGCAGTTTGAAGGCTGCCGGGATTTAAGGACACCACCCAAAGATGCTCAAGAGGGAATTCTGGCTGAAGGCCGCTCGTGGGTTGCGGAAAAGGGCCAAGCGCTCCTCGGGACACCTTGGGCTCTAGCTGCCATCCTGGGGGCAGGAAAGAAATCCATCACTTGATCTTTGTGTCCCCTGTACTGAACAAGATCTAAATGGGGTGCTTGCTTTGAAAAAGGCTCAGTGGTACTTTTGTGTGATTTATTTAGTCGTTGCTCACAAAAACAACTTGGGAGTTCCTCCATGACAGGGAGCTAAACTCTTCCCACTCTGTGATTCTATGATACATTGCGGGGCCTTAAACGACATCAAACTGATGGAGCCAAAGATGGGTTTCCAAAACCTGCAAGATACTTTAAGGAGTGGCATTTCCATTGCCGACACCCTAGCAAGTTCCTGTGGCCAAATGGGGATTTTGAAGCCAGGAGTTCTGGGGCCGCCTCTTGCCAAGTTACACCACATGACTTTTCAGCGTGCATCGCATCCCCACATGGGGAAGACTGGGCATGCGATATTCCTCTAGGTAAGGAAAAATTGAAGCCCTGCAACCTGATACGGAGCTGAATGTTTGTGAGATTCCGAGGAGCCCTTGGGTACCGGATTCCAGAAGAACGGGCAAAAAATCAAGGCCGATCCCCAAAGTACACCAACCTGAGATCCTTTCTAGGTTTTTTTACCTTGTTCCTCGAAACCTTTGATGACGCCAAAGATATTCAGGATCTTCTTCTCCACTACCTCGTTGTTGACGCGGAGGGTCACATTTCTGCCAGGCTCCAAACCACACTTGTAACTGAGCTTCCCTTTCCAAGAAGTTGGACAGTCTTGGCCGTTCATCAGGCTGGAAATGGATCCACAAACAGCCATTATAGATTTACGCACCTTTTTGTGTCAAGGGGCTTTCAAAGCTTCATTCACAAATAAAGACTTTATACTTTGCTTTCCCCTTTTCTTTTGCCACCAGACTTCTTAGTCGTCCAAGCTACGAGAACAGAGGAAACTAAGCATACCCCTCCCATGAGTCTAGCGTGTTCTACAGGTCTTACATATTGGGGGCAATAGGAGAACAGGTCATTAACTGGAAGAGGGAAACTTCCAATGTTTAATGGAAGGAAGCTAGTAGGAAAAGTGGAGTTGAAACTTCTTAACTGTTAAGGGTGGTACGACAACGGAACCCATGACCTCAAGGGGAGGTGGCGAGCGCTCATAAGTTGGAGGCCTTCAAGAGAAAACTGGACCACTGTCCGTCAGATCTGTTTCGATTGGGATTCCTGCCTTGGGCAAGAGAGTTGGACTCGATGGCCTTTAGAGGGCCCTTCCAACGCCATGATTCTATGAGCCGTGGGAAAAACAGAAACTCAGCTAAACTGTAGACAGTAGAAATAGAAGAGAAACCACTAAATCTAACAGGCCACCTGGACGGTTAGCAAGCAGAGCTGTTCAAAGAAAAGGCTTTCTTGCTTTGCATGATGCTGGCATGCTCCACAGTGGTTCCTAGCAGGGCCTGATACTGACATGCAAACGAACCCCATCCTGTAACCGTTGATAATGATTACCTAGCACTCTTGCCTCATTTGCCTGACTGGGAAGGAAATACAACCCCCCCCCAATTGTTGCTCCCCAGGCTCATGAAAAAAAAAAACTAGAACTGGTAGGATCCTGGAGAGTAAGCTCTACTTCAGAAGAGGCTAAAGGGGAAGGTTACCTGAACAGTTTGCTTGCAGCGGTGCTAGAAATTGTCTGGACAGGAATGCGGGGAAGTCCGGAAGATGTCACGGGAGGGAACTGAGTATGGTTGAAAGAAGGAAATCCTGGCGTAAAAGGGTCCCCAGTTCCCAGATGAGCCTGCAAAGGACAGCATTTGGGTGAAAGCTGGAAGGCTGAACCCTCTTGACCGCCACCTCGGAGAGCAGCAGGGCAGGCTCCCACAATCCCACACTCCCCAGGGGTCTCCCAGATACTCACGTGCCCAAACAAGCCATCCTCTGGTTTAAGGCTACCGTAGTCTGCAGGGTCGGGATAAATCAGGACTCCTACTGCACCCCATTTCTGGGCATTGGCCACCTGTGTGTGTGGGGGGAGACATGGTCATCTTCCAGCGACGGCTGTGAGAACGCCAGCTGGACAGCAGCAGGGGGTCAAGCAGAACGCAACCACCTTATCTAGCAGCCACGGGCAGTATCCGTTGGGTTCTCCAGCCGAACACGGAGCCTTCATGGTTCCCAGAAATCCCTTCTCTGCTGCTGGCATGCCCAGGACGGGGAGCTTCCTTGCTCACCCAGGTGGGCCAGAAGAGACCCTTCAAGGGCTACTGAATGCCACGCAGGCAGAGTCAGAAGGGGGGGGATATCATATCGGTAGCAGGCTCACGGGGGAGAGGTCTTTGATGAGACCCCAGGGTCTCTTCTTCCTGGGTGGGCTCTGGTTTCCTTGGGCAAGCTGTATTCTTGCCTTTCGATGGGAGTCCAGGACACAAAACCCACCTTGTCAGCAAACGTAATTTCTCCCGCTCTGAAGAGGAGCACGGTTCCCGTGAGACTGCCACCATTTTTGAGCAGTTCCTGGAAGTCTTCGTCGCGACCGTAATTGCCATAAATGGGTTTTCCCTTTAAAAAAGGGAACAATTTCAACTAAGCTACACGGCGGTTCAAGAAGACCAAGAGGAAGCCTGAGTTTCAGTTAAAAGAGCAACTGCTGTGATACTACTGCGTCTGTGCCTAGGAAGGTGGACTTTCCTATCCCCGTGAAAGGCGAGTGTTTGGGAGAGGGGCAATCTTGTTCTGCCGGAGACGCCTGGACCGGCTCAATCTCTGCGGTCAGTGAAAAGGTCCCACCTCATGAGGCAACGCCTGATTAGAAACCTGAAGCCTTCCCTCATCGTTCCCAGCCCTCTGCATGTGCTCCCTTGGCCAAAGCGCTTGTTATCTGCAGGGATATCCTGGCATAGTGGTTCACAACTGCTGTACGGCAGCCAAAACTGGGCTCATGACCTTGAGATTCCATCCCGGCTCAAGGCTAGCTCAGCCTTCTCTCCTTCCAAGGTCGGTAAAATGACTCCCCAGCTCACCACCAATGTGTGCAGCCTGCATAATTAAAAATGTAAACCGCCCAGAGAGTGCGTTAAGCACTATGGGGTGGTATATAAGCAGCATACTTTGCTTTCGTCTGTTTTTGTTTTTTGCACAGGGGGTAGACCTTGAAGGTCAACCTCGATGCTTGTTCCTGCTCTCTAGGCAGATGACAACTGCCTTCTGGGCTTGTTCCGTCTACGAAAAGCTGCCAAATAACTCTTCCAGCCTAGACGGCACCAGCCTCTACGCCGGTTGTATTGCTACTTCTCATGATCCACACAGAACGCTTCCTATCTCTGTTTTTAACTGTTTTTATCCTGTCTGTTGTGAGCCGCCCAGAGTAGACAATGTCTAGATGGGCAGCATATAAGTGCAATAAATAAATAAATATCTCACACACTTCTCGTGACGACTTCTCCTTTTTTCCACATTTTTTTCAGAAAGCCCTGCTTGTTTTTAATCTGGGGCTTTTTCACTAAAATTCACGCCCCCCTCAGCGATAATTTTCCCTGTCAGAAGTCAACTCGAAAGCAGAGAAAGCCAAATGGGACTTGTGGTGCATTTTCCTTAAAAGAGTTCTTAAGAGATATCTTACAGGGAATCGTTTTTCTGGGCATGGACCTTGGCCAACGGCATGCCGTTCTGACAACAAGCACCCAGAAGAGGAGAGAGCAGAAACTCCATTTGGAAAAGCCCTAAACGGCCACGGCAGGGCCTGAAAGGGGAGTTGCAGCCGAAAAAACAAACAAAAAGGAAACTTACAGACACTTCAGCCTTTTCACTATATGCGACGTAACCCTTGGGCGCTTCCAAAATCTCCCTTGGCCCGTCTATGAAAACTTCATTCGGAGCGCTAGGAAAAGAAGAGTATTTGCCAGTTTTAATGGGGGGAAGGGGGATTTCGCTCCCTGCCGCCGCCATTTGGATAGAGGCATGAAGCGGAACGCTGGTGGGCACTGGGTTCAATGAGGAAGGTCAACAAGCAAACGATGCTACTCTTGCCTGGTGGAAACTTGGTCACACGGCATGCAGGAGGCACCGGCCGTTTCTTCTCAAGTCCTGCCCTTCCAGAACCCCAGAAAAACCACATACCTTCCCGGGACCTGCACCCTAACATAATGCTCGTCATTCCACACTTTGTCCAGCTTGTATTTCTGCAGCCGATCATGAATGTCACTGGCCAAACTCTCATCTTCTGGACTGCCAGCCTCGCGGGAAGTGCGAGAGATTGTCCTGGAAACAAAAAGAGTCGGTTTCCGTCAAATCACCCTTACAGCCAGACACCCTTTCTGGAGGTCTCCCGAAATGCTCTTTCCACCGAACCACCAAGCAAACTCTCGGGAGAAAGGTACCTGATCTCATCTTCGAAGGTCACAGCGCTCAGCTTCTGGGACAGTTTCGCTCTCAGGTCACCCCAGTATAGCACAGGCTCTCGTGTGGGTGCCTCCTCTTCGGTGTTATCATCCTTCTGCTCAGCAACAGATGATGATGCATCAGGTGAGACTGAGTCACCTACACATTTTCCAGCCGCCTGCGTACGTCCGTGGTAACTCAGGTAGCCCATGAGGAAACCTGCTGGTGTTAGAGCAATATTAAGCTTTGACATGCTAATGTAATCTACCGAAAGCACTTACTTTTATTTATTATTTATTTTTATTTATTTATTCTATTCATCCCCCGCCTATCTGGTCGTTTCAACCACTCTAGGCGGCTTACAACATAAAAATAACAAATATAAAGAAGAGATTATAACACAATTAAATAATTCTGCAAGATGGGAAGCATTCAAAATAAATCAAATAAAGAGGAGGGAAGAGGGTCAGGGATTAACTGGAAGGGAAGGCCTCACGGGCCACACAACGCAAACATCTTTAATATATCGGTTCAAGGAGACAGAGGGGGCCAGTACTTTATTCAGCCCGGAGCAGCTGAAAAGATGGAGGTGCTACCGGTTAACTCAGACCTGGGCAAAGTGCGGCCTGAGGGCCATACACGGACCGCGAGCCACTCCTGTCTGGCCCGCCGGACATCAAAACCATTTCTAGCTTTTTGTCTAAAGCTGATCAGTTGCTTATCTTTAACATACTGCAAAAAACCTCTTTAGTATTTATGAAAATTAACAAGTCTAAAATAAAAACTATCATAACATCACTGTTTCATTTTATTTTTAAGTAAAGTTGGTTCAGCCCCCAAACACAGTTCAGATTTTTCATGTGCCCCCCCGCTACAGAAATTAATTGCCCACCCCTGGGTTAACTATATGCCGCACCAGGCTTCTTTCCATCCAGGCGATAAAAGGACTGCTGGACTCTTTAAGGTCAGACTTCACAAACCCAAAAGAAATGTCATCTACCCAATGAAAAGCCAACTTACAGGTACCTTAACTCTGCTCCCATCCAGGTTGCTGGAGATTAACTCCAAAGTGGCTTGGAGTTCCATATTTTTTGGAAAAAATATTTGGGAGTAGTGTAACAGATACAGTGGTGCCTCGCTTAACAGCGATAAACCGTTCCAGGAAAATCGCTGTTAAGCAAAAACAGCGTAAAGCGAAATTAAAAGCCTCATTGAAACGCACTGTAGACTGTTCAATGTGTTGCAATGGGGTAAAAACTCACCGTCCAGCGAAGGTCCTCCATACGACAGCCATTTTCCCTGCCTGTATAGCGAGGAATCTATCCCTAAGCACAGCGCAGACAGCCATTTTCCCTGCCTGTATAGCGAGCAATCTATCCCTAAGCACAGCGCGGAGCCATTTTATGCACCGGGTGGCCATTTTGGAAACCTGGTGATCAGCTGTTTTTGATCGTCGTAAAGCGAGAATCGGTTCCCGAAGCAGGGAACCAATCATCGCTAAGCGAAATCCCCCCATTTAGACCATCTTTTTGAAATCGCAATCCCCCCATTTAGACCATCGTTTTGCAAGCGCAAAAAGATCGTCGTAAAGCGGATTGATTGTAATGCAGGGCAATCGTTAAGCGAGGCACCACTGTAGTTTCTAAAGTGGGAAACAGACCCTGTTAAAGAGTCTCAGTACGTACCACGGAAGACGCTGGCCCTTGAGACTAGAGGCATGGTGTATGAACCATGAGAGGAACAAGCAAGCCCTCCCCAGTTAAACGCCTCACCTATAAGAAAAATGAGGGCTATGCCGATGATTTTGTAGTAGAGCTGTCGGTTGTTCTTCCTCGGCGCCACGGTCTGGGTGTGGAGATGGTCGAGCGTGCCATTTTCACCTCCTTCCTCTTCTTCCGCGGAGAGCTTCATCTCCACCTGACTGCTGTCACCGTCTGGCTGGCGAGCAAGACTGAAGCGAGTATACGAGAGGGGTTCCCCGCCAAACTTGAGGAAAAGGATTTGACCAGGGGTTACAATATGCCGGAACAGAAACTGAATCACCCACGCTCTGTCCTGTCTTGAAGGAGCCAAACTCTTTTACCCCCCCCCTTGACCCAAGTTATGGGTTTGTTTGGTTTTTTTTGCAACTAGGCAGTTCCTGAGTATTTTGAGGTTAGCAAGAAACTGAGTACCCACATCCCATTCTACGGTTCCTCTCTTTATTTCCTGGCCATAAAAGGAAATAAGCAAAAAAAAAAAGTTGCAAGAAAGCATCTGAAACAAGATCTCAAGAATTTGGAACCTGTGGACCTCCACGGGTGGACAATTAGATTTTAGGGGGTCTGGCACTCAAAACTTTGGGCTAGTCACCGCAGGCAAAAACAGATTCCATTCCCACAAATAAGCAGATGGGTGGAGGGGGAAAAACGAGCTGCCTTGCTAGGAATCTAGCCTAGAAACCACGCGAGACGATGGCAGATGGTTCCATTCCTCTCTAGCTCTTCTAGTCTTCTGCATTTCTGAACAGCTCGTGTTTGAGTCAACTGAAGCTACCATAGCCGGGACAAAGTATTCCAGTCATCCTTTGCTGGGCTCCCCCCTCCAAGTTTTTTTTTAAAAAAAAACACCAATAAAAACGTTTCAGGACATTTAACTTCTCAGAGGCTCATAAACAAAGACTTGTTTAAAAATTGCTCTGATTGCCAATTCAAACAGGGGCCATATCCAAATGAGGGAGCTGCTTCTTAAATCTTGCTTGTTCAATACAACTGCACTACAAACCTGACAGAACACATCCGATCATATCAACTAAGTGATGCATTTCAGTCCCTCCTGCAAGATAAAAATATAACAGTAAATCCCCTTACCATGTTATATATTGCTTTCCTGGCATGATCCATAGTTCTAGGCAGCCCTCCAGTGAAACCTGAAAATATAGAGGAAGCTTAGCCAAGGAGGTGTTTTATTTATGCCATACAAACTACATTTGCAAAGTGCTAGAGTTCTCATGTGCTGGCTGGAGCGCTCAGGGACTGTGTAACAAAAATATAACAGTAAATCCCCTTACCATGTTATATATTGCTTTCCTGGCATGATCCATAGTTCTAGGCAGCCCTCCAGTGAAACCTGAAAATATAGAGGAAGCTTAGGTTAGCCAAGGAGGTGTTTTATTTATACAAACTACATTTGCAAAGTGCTAGAGTTCTCATGTGCTGGCTGGAGCGCTCAGGGACTGTGCAGCCAAGAGGTTAGGAGTTCGATTCCCCGCTGGGCCTCCTTAACAAGGGCTGGACTCAACGATCCGGAGTCCACTCCCGCGCTGCTGTTCTGAGATTATTAGCTGGATAAAGAGCTCAGGGTTTGAGAGTTCAATTCTCCACAGTGCCTCCTAGCGGAAGAGCCAGCCTGCGTGGCTTTGGACCAGCTGCAAAATCTCAGAAATGCCCCCAGAAGGAGGGAAAGGGAAACCATTTTTGAGTACCCGTATTTTTCTGTGTATAAGACACCCCCACACACTTTTCTAATCCAAAATTAAGAAATCTAAGTAGGGCTTAGCAAGTGCAGGGGGAAAGGGGCCAAAGCGCTGCAAGATCGCTTTGATCCCTGCTTTCCCCTCCACTTGTTTTTTCTCTCCTCAGTTTACTTCCGTGTATAAGACGATTCTCAATTTTTAAAGATTTCAGACAAAAACATAGTCTTCTACCTGGACAAATACAGCATTCTCTACCAATCACTGGCTGTCCCTAAAAGAATCAAGATTTAAACTTAAAAGCCGCAGACCCTGCATACAGGCCTCTTGGACAGGAAGTCTGGAACAATGCACAGCAGCCCCACCTCTCCTTCACAGGTACCGTAAATATTTGCAATGAAGTTGCACGCACACCAACCCACAGGGGAAGTTTGGTTTTACCCACCCCAAAGCGACACTGCCTTTCCAGCACGTAGCATGGAAATCAGCTGCAGTGGCAATGGTCTACTTTTCCTTAGGGCCAGGAGACCAATTTTTGCCCTCCTGGTGTTTTGGACTACAACTTCCCAAGTCCTTTGTCACTGGTCATAGAGACTAATGATTCTGGGAGTTGTACTTTAAACATCTGGAGTGCTAAAGGTTCACTAGTAAAGATGGGCTGAATTTAAAAAAAAAACACAAATTGCAAAATTGATCAAAATCCGCTAATTTTGTGAATTCGTATTCATCCAAAGCAATGCCCTCCAGGTAACGCAAATCACTGATTTTTTTTTTTTTTGTGATTTATAGACCTTTAAGGGCAACATGAATTGACAAATCAATTTGTCAGGGGGAAAAAAATCATACATTCGTTATTTGTTGACCTTGACGAATCACGAATCCGCATTTTTCCAATTCATACAATCATAGAAAAGTAAAGTTGGAAGGGGCCTATGAGACGATCAAGTCCAACCCCCTGCTCAAAGCAGGAATATAAATCAAAGCAGATCTGCCAGGTGATTATCCAAGATTTTCTTGAATGCCTCCAGTGTGGAGTGCTCACCCACTCCCAAGTTAACAGGTTCCACTGTCATACTGCTCTGATAGTTAGGATGTTTCTCCTGATATTCAACCGAAATCTGGCTTCCTTTGAGCCCATTGTTGCGTCTCCTGCACTCTGGGATGATCAAGAACAGATCTTGCCTTTCCTCATAAGGCTTGGTTACAAAACTGAATTTGCTAAAATGGCATGTCTCTGGGGGTTACTTGAGTGTGGCATGCAGAAAGCTCCGGATTCAATCCCTGACATGGTCTGGAAGGGCTTCAAAATCGCCTGGAACCCCTAGAGAACAATTATTGCCCTTCTCAACGTTGCCGGGCTAACTCAGGGAAAAGGTCTGATCCAACCCAGGAGAGGACCTTATGTTTCTTATCGGTGTTTAAGTGGTCTCTGAAGTATTGCCACACCTTGAACCTTTTTCTTCCTAACGCTAATCCACAGTTTGGAAGTACTGTATACCAGAATCGATCCCTCATGGGTTTAGAGATGGAAGCTAAAGAGGTGTGGGAATCTGAGTGGGACCACTATTTGACGCAAGACCCGTACTAGATGGCAGAACACCTCTCAACCCAAGGAGGAGAACCGGTTGACATTCACCTGCATTTCATCTTGGTTGCAATTACTACATCCCTCTTCTGAGACGGCACAGATGTTTCACTGCGCTTGAAACATCTGGCACAGGAAAACCTTCCACGCAAGACCTCAACCTTGTTGGGCAATAAGACCAGCCCAAATCTTCTTTGTAACTTATTTAGCTTTTGTATTTGCGTATTACATATTAAATACGAATGTGTCATTTTACTGCAATGTCATTTTGACCAGATAGACGGGGTATGAAATAAACAAACAAACAAATGTGGAAACCAGAGTAGTACCTGTGTTTATACATACTGGCATAACATTCCATATTTCGTTTGCATTACTGCGAACAGCTCTAAGCATAGTCTACCAGGGAAAATGAATACATGAAAAAACCAATACCTCAAAGAGACGCATCTAGCCTTCTATCCAAAAAGATTACAAAGCTTGATCAGGTAAACCTGATTCTGTCCACTGAATTACACGTGTGAAGTGTCAATTCTATAGAGACCAATAGAAAACACAGTTGATTTAGTGTAATTTAGCCTTATCGACCGCACGCTTCCCTGGCCCACACAATTATATTTTTGCTTCTTTCAACCCGTTCCTACGATGGAACCTCACATTTTGCCCACTTCCAAACCTTCTCAGAGCTTCTAAGACCAAATGATTGCAACCATTCCCAATAAAATGTTTACAACCACCTACTTTTCTTGACAACCCGGACAAAATGCAAGCCTTTGACAACTTCCAACTTGTACATTTCTGCCTAGACAGCCAGCTACTTAACTCATGTCAATCTTCAGAACTGCTGGATAGCTCAGTGGTTTAGGCATCTGGCCAGATGTTGGGAGTTCAATTCCCCTACTGTGCCTACCTGACAGGGGCTGGATTCGAAGATCCAAATTGTCCCTTCCAGTTCTCAGTTGTAAGATGATGAATCAGAACCTATTTTACATGCATATCTTTACTCTATAAATACAGTAGATCAAGCAGCAATCCTGACAGAAGATCTCAACCGATGGAGAGGTGGTGAATCCACCTGTCTATACGTTCCATTGGTTCCAATGAGCATACACTAACTGCAGCTTACTAGGCTAAAGTCAAGTCTTGCCAAAGTAAGTTACTATGGGTCTAGAGTAGACCCATTTGATTTAATGGAACTTGTACTAATGAAATCCTCTTTGATCCAATGGGCCTACTGTTGTGTGACTCGCTACGATAAACAGGATTTGGGACCAGTAGATTTTGCCATGTTTGACTTCTGGCCCCTACACATTAGATCTTAATTTTGTACATGTTCTGGGCACCACCGATAAATGTCTTCAAGGAATACTGGACCACATATCATGGGCTGCGCTCAGCTGAAAGGTACTAGATAGGGAGGGGGAAAAAACCCCACCTTACTGTAGGGAGGGCAGTGGAACATCTGCACGGCTGACAACTGATAGGCTGTCCAAACCGCAATGTGAATTTAATGCCTCAAGCAAGCAATTAACATGCCTTAAGCCACATTTCAGGGTGAGAAGTGCAGAAAAGTGATCAAGGCACGTTTTTACCGAGAGACACTGCAAGCTTTGTGTTCAAGACGAGCGTGAGGCGCATCGATCGCACGCCACGGATGCTGCCCGTTAGCAGCCAAGCTTGTGTTCCTAAAAACTGTGGATGCATTTCCTACAACACTACTCGTGAGCCATTATCCAAAGCCAGGCTACGGGGTCCCATTTATTTCCAACTGGTGAGCTCTGAGGCTGTTCCAGAACTTTATTTTCCATACCATTTTATTGGCACAAGGTAGAGCGAAAAAGCAAATAAGCAAGGCATGGAATAGCTTCCATCCTTCTGCCCTGGGACATAAAAGATTGAGCCAGACCTTCGATTCATTGTATAGCTATTCTGAAAATAAGACCTAACCTGAAAATAAGCCCTAGTAGGAGTTTTCAGTATGCTCGTCATGTAAGCCCTACCTCCAAAAATAAGCCCCAGTTCAGTGAAACCCCACCCTCCACCCTTCTGCAGCCACCAGAAGATGATGACAGGATTGTCTTTGAATAAATGTAGATGGTTGTGCATGGAAAAAAATAAAACATCCATGGTTGTGCATGGAAAAAATCAAACATCCCCTGAAAATAAGCCCTAATGCATTTTGGAGCAAAAATTAATATAAGATCCTGTCTTATTTTTGGGGACACGCCGTCGTTCTTTAAAGGCCCCCAAGGTTTCTCTTTAGCATATTTTTAACAGGTGCCATTGCATCATTTCTTAACTTGCAAGACAGGGTTTCCACTACGCTTGCAATAAAAACCTTATCTGAAGGAAATATTTTACAGGCCTAAGCTTCCATGGCTGCCCATCCCAACAACATAAAGCAGAAATTAAAAAAAAAATCTGAAGGACGTGCAAGGGAGCAAATGCTTTAACAGACTCTACCCTTCCTTCATCCTTCAAGGGAATGAACAAAATGAAGCTGGCCTGCCTTTCTTGCAAGAGCTGGCAGGGCTGCAAAAATATAAATCTTTTTTCCCTCCAGGCCACAATATTCGGACATAAAGGAAACTAGCCCCCCATTAATCGGATCCATGGGGTGCATCTAACCCTCATTTAGACCCCAAAAAGGGCAGGTGGGAGAAATGTGAAGGCAGGTACACCCCAGCATCGATTGGCATCATCGAAGGCCATCATCCTAACAACAGGGGCAGCCCCCCCCCAAAACAAAAAGCCAAGGAGGGTGGCCCATGGGCGGAGGGGGCACCCCACTGCTGCCCCCCCAGGGTCAGAAAGCGCGCGCGCGCGCACACACACACACACACACACGTGCTCCTGGTTAATTTAAACTATTTTTCCTATTCTGCTTTTCTCCTTTAAAAAGGGACACACACACACACAG